AAAGATTTAAGATGAGTAATTGTTCACTAAGTGTAGCTCCCATTGTAAAGGGTGACAAGTTTGATTTAAACTATTGCCCGAAAAATGATCTTGAGTGCGAACAAATGAAGAACATTCCTTATGCTTCAGTTGTTGGAATCCTTATGTATGCTTAGGTCTGCACAAGACCTGGCATTGCTTTTGCGGTTGGAGTATTAGGAAGATATGAAAGTAATCCAGGCTTAGACGAACTAACAACTTGGAAGTAATTGGCTACTCAGATTCAGATTACGTTGTCTGCATTGATTCGAGAAAATCCACTTCAAGATTTATTTTCATGCTAGGCAATGGAGCTGTGTTTTGGAGAAGTGTCAAGCAGACCTTGACTGCTACTTCCACTATGGAGGCTGAGTTCGTTTTTTGATTTGAGGCTACCTCACTTGGTGTATAGATGAGGAGTTTCATTTCTGGGCTAAGAGTTAAGGATTTTATTTCTAAGCCATTAAGGATATATTGTGATAATTCAGCTATCATTTTTATAGCTAAGAGTAACAAAAGTGGTAATCGAAGCAAGAATATTGAAATTAAATATCTAGCCATAAGAGAACGTGTTAAAGATAAATCAGTGGTATTGAACACATTAGCACTGAATTAATGATTGTTGATCCTTTAACTAAGGGCATGCCACTAGTTAAATTTAAGGATCATGTAGAAAGGATGAGACTTGGTTCCCATATATGATTTTCATTGTAATAATGATATGATATTAATAACACTCTATTTGTGATGTTTCTCATTCAGTTTATGTGCATTTATAGTTAATTATTCTAAGAAATATCAATAAAGTTTAGACTCAAAATAAACAATGGGTTTATTCATTAAGTTATATGGGCTTGAGAAATATAATACAACGTAATACATGAAAAATAATACCCATACAAATTAGAGGACTTATCGCCATAATTCATGTATTTTGTTCTCATTATAGTATATAATGGGATATATGGACCAAGTGAGAGAATGCTAGTAAAAGTGGTGTGGCCTTATGTGGTCCACTTATGTCCTCCACTTATTGCTCACTTATTGCTGGAATCACTCATTCATTATTGGAGTGCGTTGTTCGCTACTTGTGCTTCCTAATACCTTGTCCAATTGTAATGGAGTTAGTATTAGTGTCTCACCTAATTTTGTTTTTGGTCTACAATCATCAACCGTTTTTTGGTTCTGGCCTGCCATCAACAACCACTCATTATACACACCATTACTAATCCCTTTGATGGAAAGGGTTTACAAAAAAAGGTGTAGCTTCAGCTTCTTGAGTCCCTGAGCTCATTGTGCATAAGGGTTGCACACCATTTGAGTTGTAGAGAAGAGTTTGGATGGCACAACAGAAGATTTTCGCTTCAATTACAACAACCATTCAAAACATCAAGGAAAGCAATGACGGTTTATGATCTTCGCACTTGATCTAATTACTTCAATTGTATATGAACATGATTAGATCATCAGTATATATTTAAAATTTATAAGTATTACTTCCTTTTTATTGAATAATACAAAATAACAAGAGCTATAACTTCTTTTTTTTTATTTTTTTGGTTTCCCAAGACTAATACTTTTGAGGCGGAAGATCACATTAAGTGGGTAGACTTCCGAACAAGTTATAACTCTTTTACTTCTCTCGTATGTTATTTTCTTTTTTATTGTATCATTTCTTGTTCTTTCTCCTCTTTCATATTAAACAATGCCTTAATCAATCCGTCAATCTTTTAGACAAATTGAGTGTTCTACCACCTCTATCGCAGTGATCCGCTATGAAAAGATGCATATGATCGTGGGACCCGAGGTTTCGTCTTAATTATCCATGGGGGAAGACCGTTTGGTTTCAACCTCAGAAACTGCTCTCTAATTGCAATAAAGCACCTCAAAATTGTCTTGCAGATTTAATAGAAAAATTTATGGATCATTTGCATTTTGGTAATACGTTGTGAATGATGAAAATCCCGATTGTTATTCCATAATTTCTTTGTCACTGAATCACTCAGAGATGTAATTCTAATTTTTTTTTTTGTAAATAAAGAGGGGCTAAGCCCCGATGTAATTCTAATTTAAAGGATAAATATCACTAACAATAAGTCATAGAATTGGTCTAATGGTAAGAACCCAAGTATAGATAATTTGCGTGAGTTTATAACTTCAAACCTCAATATCATCATTGTATAAAATAAATAAATAAAATATATCACTAACAGTAAAGTCAAGCTACCATTTGGGCTGTGTGGCACCACTCTTACAGTTAATATTTTTTTTTTTGTGTGTACATACTCTAAAGAACCTTGCACAAGAGTTCATTGGACTTGAAGAGTGGACAATGCAACAGGCTCAGCCTACCGGTGTTAAGAAACGCCACAAGAGAAAGTGGAGGGCGGCGAAGCTCTGATACCATGTAAAGAACCTTGAGATACACCACCCCAAAAGCTAGCTCAAAGGAAGGGAATGCCCAAAGCCTTATAAAGGTCACATTAGTTGTCCACACAATCAATGTAAGACTATATATCTCAACACATACAGTTAATATATTTTAGTGTACATAGAGATTTCTAATTGTTCTTGAAATACACATTATAACGTACAAATGTCAAAGTTGATTGGAGAATAATTGAGATATAGTTGCTATATATAGTTAGAAGATGTTAGGGTTATTAGTTGTTTTAGTAGTGGGCTTCGGTTAGTTAAATAGCTGCAGTCAGGTTATTATGTTATGGAGTAACACCTCAATGTGAATATTATTATTCATTGTTAATAATTATTCTTTCTTTTTGCTTTCATTATTTAAACCCTAAAATTTCAACATGGTCTAAATAACAATAACAACGGGTTACATATTTCAAATATTTAAACTATTATATAAAAACTCATACATATAATTTTTAGACTTTGATTTTCTCATATTGCATGAGAATTGAATTCTCATGGTGAGACTCAACTATGGTGGACCTCACACTTATTAAGAAAAAAAAAGAAAAAAATACAAATCGAAGGGTAACAATATAAGAAAACACTTTTCATACAACAAGAGAAAATCAAAGCTCATAGTCTTTATATCTAAAACATCTAAAGTATGCGTTAAAATTAAATTATAAGTATAATATAATATGAAATTAATTATATAATTAAATATTTATAAACAAGAGATAATATACATGTAAATATGTCATTAATATAAAATTGTATAATTAACAAAAAATATATTCAAACATGTGATAATACGCAAATAAATAATAGTAGTTTAGTAAAAGTACATAACCTTTTTATCTTTGAAAAAGTACAAATGATACGTGACAACTCATGTATAATATTTGAAAGACTCGTACAATTAGATATTGTATATAAATTTATAAATTTATAAATGTATAAAAAATAAAATATGTAATATAATAACTATATACAACTTAAATTATTTAAAAAACTAAAAGTTATGATATAACATCCCACCTAGCCTGTGCAAGATCGCTGTTATATAATGAATGTCTGCAATCATAAGACAAACAAGCAACGTTGTAACGTAAACGAAGGGTGCAACCGCAACGTCACATTTTCTTGACTTGACCATAGTTCATCATGTAATCATAAAATTGAATATTTGTCTAATATTTTTTTTTTAAAAAAGTTGAAGTTCTTCTTTTTTTACTGATACAATTGTAATTAAGAATTCCCTCTGACATGTTCACACAACTTCCGCCGATCATATTCCATTGTATAATAATTTCAACTTTCTGAAGTTGTTGGAGACTGAGTGGGCCATTTGTATGTGTCAATTCGTTGTGTCTGCGGTACAGGCATGCAAGGGGTTGCTGCATGCGCCTCTGGTTTTTTTTATCTTTTATTTTTCAATTGAAAAGATTAAAACATGCTATTAGTTTTAATGAAGTTTTAAGACCTAAAAATGACTCATTAATAAAGAATAACTAACTAAAAATCAAGGTTAAAACTTTAAATTGACACAATACATTAACCAACCTTCAATCCATTAATTTGTGATTAGCTAATAAACTGTCATCACAGAAATACTCACTTTACAACATGAAAAATACTCAATACACTTATTCTAATTTATAATTTTATATAGTCGCATATGTGTTAAGTATATATTAAGTATATATCTTGGGGAGGGGCTGAACCTTTAGCCATCACTGTTCCCCCGCACTCCGGATTAGTCTCATAGCCGGCTCAAAGAGTCGAAGCTCGTGGGAATACTGGAGGGAGCCAACTCATCTCAAAGAGATAATTAGGGTTGGGTAACTCCAAAAAATATATTAAGTATATATAAATTTGTCAGAACACAGACATATTTCAAGGGACGATCACCCTAAGTCCCTAAGCAGCATGGTTTGACATAGTAAAAGTGATACACTTCTCTTTCGAAAGAACCTGTATTCGATTCTTGACTTGTCGTTTTGCTCCTAACTCAAATAGAGTTGAAATTCCAATACGAGCCATTCTTACCAAACCATGATTTTATGATCAGGCTTTATTATATAAAAATAAAAGCTTTTAATCAATAATTATTTATTCAAGTGATAAGATATTTACTCTTAATTACAGATGGAGTCCTCAAAATGGAAAAAATAATATTGAAAAAACCAACTCCTATATGGATTTAATGGCGCTCAAACTAGACAAGTGAGGTAATCCATAACCCAATTGGGAAAAAAATAAGTAATTGCACTAAAAGTCAAGCTTTATTAATAACATCACACGAGGAGGATCTACTTGCACCCACATTTTAATCAAAAGAAGTTGATCAAATTCGTAATTATAAATAGGCATGTTGAAACAGATTAGGTGTTTCAGTCAGGAAGAAAAAGGGTTATGAAAAAATAAAAAACATTTGCGTCATGATAATTTAAAATAGAACAAATCTTTCATCCACGCCAATTGGTGGAGTAAAGCAAACTTGTTTCGAACTAATTTTTTTTTTTTTTTTTAAACGGAAAGTTTAAGTGGAGTTAGACATCGGTATCCAACTAGAGTCAAGAAAGACCCCCCAACCTCTGAGAATTTCTAGGATAGATTATATATTACTCACCAACAAAGTCTTCACATCGGTTAGCAGGGTTTGAACTCGTACTCTTGTGGGGTATGGACTAAACCCTTAGCCAACTATGTCCACTTTGTTTGGTTTCAAACTAATATGATTCCTTTGTCATGTGTTGTACAGTGTACAATATAAATAACTCGTTAAACTGTGGAAGGTTCAATTATTTATCTACGTGTGTGCAACTGCAGACTAAAGGCATGGAATGTTGGAAGAGAATGGACCTAGGAAAATCGTTAAACCAAGAGTTTTTTCATCCCTTTTTTTTTTTTTTGGGTATAAAAGTCAAGAGTTTTATATAGGGGTGAAAATAGTAGCTAAACCTTGATCCACTGTTATTTGAAGTTTATCATAGGCCATCAAAGCCTTCTGCTCACACTGGTACGATCCTTTCCCCCTTGCCAGAACCTCACCATCTGCATCTATGATCCCTTCCTTCTCTTGGTCTTCCAAGCGTGGGCCAGGTTCCAAGATGAAAGCTTTCACCTATTATTTGTTGCAAGATACAGAAATTATCAAATTTTGTTATGCAAATAGATCAAAGCAGGGACACTTAAGAACCCAAAACAATTACAAGGAAAAGTATTGCACTGAAACATATTGGGGACCACACCTTTAGGTACATGACATATGGCGATTTTACATGACCTCCATTATTCACCTCTGACAGAACTGACAGCAACGGTAATTTTGGGCAATTCTTCACAATGATCAAGTCCAGATAACCATCTGAGAACTGCATTAACCAAATTAGAATGACAAAAAGAATTGTCAAGCTCATGGCTGTAAAAGACTATCATCAATTATAAGTAATGATGTCCCACAATGGAGGAGCAAATTTCGAGTGTTTCTATCAATTTATTCTCCACGGTACTTATTATAAACAGTAATAGTCCTTAAGGTTTAAAGTCAAACAAATTAATATGCAAATAGTCATTCCTCAATTATTTGTATATAGTGATCCTACTAATAGAGTCGCCAACACTGCCATGTTAGCAATAGAAAACAGTTCTCACTATAACATTAAGTAAAAAATGTGTGAGAGAGCGCATGATAATACGATATGTATAAATTCTTACACATAAAACCAACCTTAGCATCCGGTGCTGCCATAGTGTTTTCAGCACCCCAAGGCACATTGTGAAGCCAGACAGAAATAAAAGGTCCATTTACAACTCTCCAATTCAGCTTCTCCACGTTAATTTCAGGTCCCTGACAACCGAGCGTTTGTGACTTCACAGGTTCCACATCAATTGAATCACTGTTGTTGACTTTGCCAGGGTAACTAGTGGACTCCCCGTAAGCTTCAAACCCAGGTGCAGGCACAAAATAAACGCATCCAGTGTAATGCCTCAAATGGAAGATTCGAATGAGAGCCTAAAGCAGTAGGTAGTGATAAAGAAAAAATTACAGATAACTTCAATCATTATAAGTCAAAGTAATTGTAGTACAAGTGTATAACAAAAAGAAAATATCATTGGACTAGATTTGCACTGAAGTGTGTGTTGCTACTAGCAAAATATGATTCTTAGTTTAAAGCATTCTACATAAACACAAACAACTTTGGATTGTAAACTGCCTCAAATTGAAGAAGATGACTTATAATATGATGATTGAATGTTCTATCATTTATGTGATTGCCTTCAACCCTAGTATTAGAAGATAACCCAACGATAATCCATATAAAGAGACACATATTAATGAAAGAAAAAGAATCATAAATAAACATGGCATGGTAATTATAACATGGGTTACTAACATAAAAATCGATGCGAGCACTTCCCATCCACCGATACTTTTCAGACTCGATGTCAATATCGGCCATCAGACCTGAAATAGAACAATATTTGCAATGGACATCATAAGCATGTCGGAGTGAATGTCAGGGTCAGAACCAGATGCAAGCAACTGGATTAGATGCTTTTGCACATCCAGCTCACCGCCAAAAATGCAATATATGGTGAAGGTAATTACCCCATGCAAGCATCAATATACTGAAAAATCTGGTTTCCCCTTGCATGATAGTGGCCACATCAAGTGATCGCTTATGACCTGACAGCATTTAATATAAAGTTAATACATTATAGTTTACATCAGCACACTGAAAAAAAAAAAAAACAAGTGTTGTTGGTCAGGATATGACATGCTGGAATGACAATGAATTGAAACCTCGTATGATGGCTAGAACAGCATTAGCTACTGCACAAGGATCACCAACTGAATCAAGAAGAGACTTTGCCATGCCATTTCCCGTACCTTCAAATAAAACCATTCATTTTATATGAATATCATGGAAGAGATTATGAAAAGATTAAAACACCTCCCATTAAACCCGACTCATGTTAGTCTTAATTTCTACTTAATTTAGTGGTAATTATCCTATGTTTTATGGGCTGATTTTGTCACAATGCAGGTGAAATTGGGCCAAATATAAGAGAGTAAACCCAAGTTGGTAAAAAGAAGTAAAAAAAAAAGGCAATTTAGATTTTCACTAATTATTTTCATTTTTTACCACAGAAAAGGACACTTGGCAAGAAAAGATAAAAGAAAAAGATGAGATGGAAGATTGAAGGCCGTTGGATGCTCCTTGGATCTAAGGGACAAAATCAACTTGAAGCTTTAGTTGAAGAAAAGTCAGAGTCTTCGTTAAAAAAAGAGAGAGGGGGAACTCAGATTTTAGAAGAAGAGAGATTTTCGTTGAATAGAGATTTTTAATTTTCGTTGTAATCAGTTTTACGTTTTGGAGGGCTTAATTTTCTTTGAAACTTTCTTGGAGAATCTCATTCTTGAAGGGATTCAAGAGGAGATTTCTGCATGCAACTTCCTGGAACAGTAACTTCGTTCTTTAGTTTCTCTTTAATTGTAGCAATTTCAACTTGAAGAACATATCGGTCTGTTACCTTCTACTTTTGCTGTTTCTGGTATTTTTGAATGAAAACTATGTTTACTGTTATTTCAGATTTCATTTTAGCTTTAATCTTTAACATGCATTGCTAAATCCTTTATCTAGAATTCTGATGAAAATGACAAGTACCCATTAACTGATTCAGATTGTTGTGCATGTTCTTGATGTTCGAGTAGTGAATATTTCTTGGTTTACGTTCCATGGGGATGGGCTTAAAGATTATTGCATGAACTTGTATTGGGAAATTTGAGTTCATGATTTCATTAATTCAAGTTTTCAAGATTAGGAATAATCTAAGAAAGAATTTGATTACAAGTCATCAATAAAATGATTCAAGATTAAGGGATTAATTTGAATCATTTTATAACTGAATTTGGGAAAGTTTAGTGAGGTTCTACAAAAAGTCAGATTCCATCAATTATAGGTGCTACAGCGGTTAAACGCATACATGCAATTTTTTAAGGGAAAATCATTGAAATCAAAATTCTAAACTTTTAATATTCATTTTTTTACTCATATAAATGTGTTCTTACCATTCTTACTATAATTTGCATTTTAGAAAATATAACTTCCATTGAAAAAGCCATTACATTCATATTCAAGAAAAATAAAAAAGGAATAACCAAAAGAAATTGAATTTCCCGTTCCCATAGAACGATACTTGAATTCTTTTTGAATTCTATACTTTTTTTTTGCAAAGTCACAACCAACAACTCACACGAGTCTAGTTATACAGATTTAGTTATGTTAATCTTAAACACAACTATATCTTGTATAACTATACTCATTATCTACACAACAAAAAAAGGAGGGTAAAACCTGCAGGAACAACTCCAAGGGGCATCTTTATTGCAGTATCCCAGTCGTCCCTTTGAAGCAGTCCATTTACAACCTACTAAAAATGTGGGACCTAGTAACTAAATACTTACTTATAGCAACCAACAACAACAATAAAAGTCAATGAACTAACCTCAACCAAAATCCCATCTCCACTAACACAAACAATCCCATCGTACTTGGAAATATCAAGGGACTGAACAACTTGCTTTGCATGGAGCTGATGTTCGGTTTCTGTAACAATAAATAATAATAATATTAATCACACAAATTAACTAAATCAATAAATGAAAGGTTAATCAACATGCACGTGAATCAAGTTGAAAGGTTAAAAAATGGAGCAATGAATGAAAAAAAAAAAAAAAAAAAAACCTTGGACTGTAAGTTGCAATTGCGCATCTTCAAGAAGAGGTTTTACTTGGTCACGAAAAATATTTGTAGCAGCTTTCCTTCCCCCAAATGGATTAAAAAAGACAAAAAGCCTCTTAGGGCGTCCTGTTCCATTCAAAATTAAAACTTTGCTACACATAACTAACAAAATTAATCAAACAAACAAAACAAAGTGATTCAAATTAGTTACCAAGAGAATCGATGATTTCGCGAAGCTTCTGGCACCAGAGCCTATGCGATTCCTCCGACGAGGGCCGAAACACGACGTCGTTTCTGACCAATCTTCCTCTGCTACCACAAGCGCAGCAGCCATCTCTGGTCTCCACGACGGTTTTGAGCCTGATGTTAGGACCGTCGGCGACGAACCCTATGACCTCTTTTTCGATGGTCAAACTCCGTTGACTTCCCTCCGGCCACCAAAGCCTCCCGTCGCTGAGCAGAGCTAGTGGTGTTACCGTCCCGTTGACGGCCACACGGTCCGAGATTATTGTGGGGCCCCGTTCATCGGATCGGTCCATTTCGTGCGAGAGCCGGTGGACCGGTTTGATCGAAACCGCTAGACCGAAAAAAAAAACAAATAAATCGGTTTTTGGGGACAAAAGATGCCAATGCCTTTTGGGTTTTGGGTGAACAAGTTTGCTTCTATTTTCTCGCCAACGAAATTATTCTATTAATTTCTTTTTTCCTGACCCCACTACTTTATTGATAAAATTTAAAAATTTAAAAATATCTTCATTTTAATTTTTAATAAATAGTGTTTGTGACGTTTATTTTTATTTTTTTTTAAATAAATCACAAGTATACTACAGGGAAGGTAATTTTATTCGAATAAGGAATATTCATATTAAGGAATATTTATATTATGGCGGGACTAATTCCCGCAATTTTTTTTTTTGTATTAGACTCTACAATTTATTTAAACTGAATCAAATATATATCACTTTTATTTTTTTATAGTTTAAAGGGCAGTCGCCCACAAAACCAAAGAGAAAATTAAGAAAATATATAGATACGGGACTCCCCCAAAAAATAAAGCTATAAAGGGTTGTTTGTTACGTGGTTTTTCTTAAGATTTTCGGAAAATTAATTTTTTTAAATTTTTAAATTTTCGGATATTATTGTCAATTGAACGTAAAAATCATATTTTTGAAAATTGAAATTTTCAGATAAAAAAAAATTTCTCTTTTACCAAACGTCTTCTAAGATCTACTAGAATAGCCTCAAAGACTTTATAGCCTGTCTCCTCGTTACATCGTAGTAGATAGTTGGTTTGCCAATCTGCACATTTTTTGCATTTCCTACAAGTGTGTTACACCTTCACAGACCAATTCATGTTGATTAATCTTCGAATTCGAGACACAAGGTGGCTTTCTCGAAGTGCATTACCTTTCTTGGTAAACAGAGTGACAATGGTTAAAGAGTCCTTTCAATGATTACCTTTGTTAATCCTTTGTCTTTTGCAAACTCTAGTCCTTTGTTAATCCTTTCTTGGTTAATCATGTATCACTTTGACCAACCCGTTTGGTTATGACATTAATTTTTTATGGGAAAAATATTTATTCTTTTAAAAGATAGTTCTTTTAATTAAAAGTAATATTTTTTATTTAAAATTTAAATTAAAAAAACCTCTCACTCTTTTCTCTCACATTTTTCATTATCTATTTTTCTCTCTCATATAAAATGATATAATTTTATGCGTAAGTAAAACATTAATTCCATTTTTTTATATATGCCGATTGATGAGTAATCCCTTTTCACAAATAAACTCTCTTTTTTCTGGATATTCACACGCTGTCTGTGAATAATATAAGAGGGTGTTTAGATTTATTTATTTTGAAGTCATTGTTGAAACTAAAAGTTAACTAGAATATAGGAACGACAAGAGAAGAAAGAAAAAGAGAAAATTAGTACAAAAATGAAAGAAGAATAATTTTCATTGTCAAAGATCTGTATATGGTCTTTATTCATATATCCTCACCAATAATGAGTTATAATAAAATAAATAATAAAACTGAATCCTCCTAATTATATATTAGAATTTATAAAAGTTACACATTATTTCTTTAAAAGTTGTGGTCATTCACAATAATATTATGGGTTCGTTTTTAGTGCAGTTAATGCAGATAAGTTATTTGCAGTAAGCCCAATACGACGTCGTATTTAGGCAGAAATTATGGTATTTTTGTAATTTTAATTTATTTTAGAGTTATTATAGTCTTTATAATTATAATTTTTTAATCTTTCAATCCAAAACGACATCGTTTTGAAAGTAAATGCAGATAACTTATCTGCATTAACTGCAGAAATAATTTTCTGTAATATTGTTTATCACACTCCATCTTGAATGCCCATTAAGATAATGTGGGGGAAAATTTTAGTAAAGGAAAAACAAAATATTCTAATAATATGTATTACAAGTTGTCTCATTAAAAATTTTACTATGAAAACTCAATGAGACAAAATCTTGGTAAAGAAAAAAAAGAGTGTAGCATATATTTTACTCCCCGTGATTATAACATCATATTTAATGTCTCTGAGTCTATAAATTACAGACTCACATATCAGCTTATCAAAACTTGAATTAGGCAATGTTTGCCAAATTATCTTTTGAACAAATTTGTTGAACGCCATGAAATATTTGTGCTTCCACTAGTGATGGAAATCTTGCTTGTGATATGCCTTTGTGTGGTTCAGGTAAATATCTTGCATTATTCTAATATCTTCATATCAAAGAAGAATTAAATGCTACTAACAAATTTACCAATAAGAAAGATAAAATGTAAAAATAATGGGAAAAAGATATAAAGTTCAAAAGTCAAACATCCATTATAAGATTTTGTAACTCCTCGTTGGATGTTCATCATTTATTATACGCTTGTAAGATTGCTTTGATTGAACTAAGATATGGCTCCAAGAAATTTTTTTATTATTCTGCATGGGGTTTAAATGAATATTTTATTTATGTCAAACTAGCTCACAATCATTGGGGTACTCAATGGATGTGCTTTATCCATGTAAAATATCTTTAAAATATTCTCTATATAAGTCAATTGATAGATAAATATTATATTAAGGAGATTACATCACATACACCTTTATTTCTTTAATTCATTTAATGAACTTGAAGTTTTTTCAAAAAAAATTCCCGAAAATTTTTATATGCTTCAAGCATTTTGAGGCTATAGTAACATCCGTTAAACATATGTTAATTTTCATGTACTACCAGACTAATAAGATATCTGAAGATTATCACATCCACCACAAGATAATATATATTACATATGATAAATGACAGGCTTTTGTTAAAATCATTGTGTTACAAGTTGTGTTTTATATCTTACTACTTCATTTTTCTCATTATATTTTTGCACATTTATATCTCATTGGCTTTACACCTTCATATGTTTGGATTATAGGTCCAAAAGCTTTACGTTTGAATTGTGTCTTTATATTTTGGCCAGTACTTATTTGTTTACATTTATCAACAAATTAGCTTCAATATTCTTGTCTTGTTTCATTATTTCATTTTTTGCTAAAATATTGAACTATAATTTTACGATTCCAACTTTTTCGTGTAAAGACATAACTAATAGAAATCTCTTCATTTTCATTATTTTTAGGTACTTGAACCTCCCTTGAGGTTTAATAAAAGTTATGTCTTCAGGATTAGCAATTGTCTCCATATTATGACCATCTTGATCATATGTTTCTTTCCTTTTCTTGAGTAATTTTATCCTTGGAACCGATCATTTTTCCATGTTTTAAGTGTAGTTTATCAATTTGAATTGAAGCATTTACGGTTGGATTATTAGACTTGTTGAATAGTCAAACATTTTGGCAGTCGATGTATAATATATTTTTCTTATAATTGCTTTGTGTGATGATTTATATAAGCTAATTATATGCATTCTAATTAATATATTTTTCTAACTGTTTATTCTCTCCCCATCATGTTGGAAAAACTGATAACAATAAGCAAATTTTGTTTTTAACTAAATCTTCATGAGATTCATATCCAACATATATTTTCAACTATCATTGGGGACTTATCTTTAGTCGTTATGGTGGAGTAATTGAAACATAAATCGCACATCCAAAAATTACAAAATTAGAAACATTTGGCTCCTAACCATGAGTCAATTGTAATGGAGAGATTTTATGATAACTTGTTAACATGATGCGTACAAGTAATGCAGCATATAAAATAACATATCTCCATATCAAAACGGGAGCTTTATTCTCATAAGCAATGACCTAGTTATTAATTGAATATGTTTAATAATTAATATGCTAAACCATTTCAGATATGATCATTAGCAACAAGTTATTCAACTGTAATTTCAATTGACATACGATAATTTTTAACTGCCTGATATGTAAGTTCACCAGCATTATCAAGACAATTTATCTTTATTATATAATCCACGAATTATGCTCTTAATATTATCACTTGAGCAAATAATCTCATAAATGTGAAGATGTGAGTTGATAATAAACATACATGTGGCCATTTTGTATATGCATATGCTAAATTTATATAATATTTGAAAAGCTCACATTATGAGTGAATAAGCCCATATATTTTACCCTATATGCATTTAAAAATGCAAGAGATTGAATATTAATACATGCCATTCTTACCAATGCATAAATTTGTGATCACGCTTTATAAAATAAAAATAAAAAAAAATAAAATACATGATTTTAACCAACAAGTATGGAAAAAAATATACAAGACTTTTGAAGTAATTGCAGGACAAGTCAAGCTCTATTAATAACACCACACGAGGAGGATCTACTCACACCCACATTTCAATCGAAAGTTTTCTCTAAGTTAATCAAATTCGTAATTATAAAGAGGCATGTTGAAACAGATTAGGTGTTTCAGTCCAGAGGAAAAAGGGTGATGAAAAAATAAAAAACATTTGCGTCACGATAATTTAAAATAGAACAATTCTCTTATCCACACCAATTGGTGGTGTAAAGCAAACTTGTTTCAAACAAATATGATTCCTTTGTCATGTGTTGTACAGTGTACAATATAAATAACTCGTTAAACTGTGGAAGGTTCAACTTATATATCTACGTGTGTGCAATTGCAGACTAAAGGCATGGAATGTTGGAATAGAATGGACCGAGGAAAATAGTTAAACCAAGAGTTTTTTCTTCCTTTCTTTCGTTTTTTGTTGTTGTTGTTGTTGTTGTTGTTGGGTATAAAAGTCAAAGAGTTTTATATAGGGGTGAAAATAGTGGCTAAACCTTGATCCACTGTTATTTGAAGTTTATCATAGGCCATCAAAGCCTTCTGCTCACACTGGTACGATCCTTTCCCCCTTGCCAGAACCTCACCATCTGCATCTATGATCCCTTCCTTCTCTTGGTCTTCCAAGCGTGGGCCAGGTTCCAAGATGAAAGCTTTCACCTATTATTTGTTGCAAGATACAGAAATTATCAAATTTTGTTATGCAAATAGATCAAAGCAGGGACACTTAAGAACCCAAAGCAATTACAAGGAAAAGTATTGCACTGATACATATTGGTGACCACACCTTTAGGTACATGCAATATGGCGATTTTACATGACCTCCATTATTCACCTCTGACATCATTGACAGCAATGG